TAATGGCTCCCTCCCTCCTCCTCCGCAGACCACCGTGAAGAAGAGGAGGAGGAATGCATGTGCACACGCGCGCGCACATGCACACACACGCCATATGTGTGAGCACCAGTGTGGGCACACTGCACTGATCCAATATTACGCCTGTGGTTCTCGCTGGCTTTATGGGGAGACAGTGGGAGGCTGGCTAGGACTTTGTACATTCTCGAGCATATTTATTATGTGTGTGCGTGTGTGTGTGGGTGTGTACTTTCCACAGGCCCCCTTTTGCTGCACGGAGGGCCTGCGTGAGTGTGCGCGGCACTCCATGTGTGTTTAAGCTTTTTTGTTTAATTTCGACTTCCTGTTTTATTCTCGGCCTAATCCAAACGCAACACAGCTGTGCGTGGACAGAAAACGAGGGATGGGGAGATGGAGATAGAGGGGAATGGTTGGGGGGGAGGGGGCTGGGGGTGTGGTTGCCAGGTCCTAGCGAGTATGGCCGTGCGGCTGACAGATGGAAGGGAAATGGGGTTACCGGCTTGGGTTTATCGTCTTTGTAGGCCAGACTACAACAGACATCGTCTACCCCACCCCCTCGTTTTGGTCATAATACGATGTGTAAATCTGCATATTTGGATGTTACCCCCCATGCCACCCCCAAAACTGTGTCCCCATGACCCACAAGATTCCTGGGTCCGGAGGATACATTTTTATGTTCAGCCCCCCACCCCCAAATAATCTGAACATCCATTTATGAGAAATAAGAGTGGGGCAGCTCCATTTTTTAAGTTCAAAATGGCCGACCGATTGAAATCAACAATCTGTTCCAATTTTGACATGTAGGGGGCAGTCCGTTATTGCATTCAGCACTTGTACTGTTTCGTCAAGAGGAACGGTGGACCGACTCCTTCTTCCAAGAAGGCAATGCCATTAAAACTAGACTTCCTCTTGCGCAAAAATATCCTAGAAAGAAATGCAAGCACTTGTGCTTTCGCGCCAGTGCAGCTGCGCTAGCCAATGTTTTTCATGAAGTATTGATCGATTTTACAATTGGGCGGCACTCAGAAAACTTTCCATCACTCTATTGGAAAAAATGACAAACCGAAGTTCTGCTTTTTTTTTAGGCGCTCTCAAATCCTTCTGGAATACTTATTTTAATTAAATACATTTGTGATGTTTTGTAATATCCATTGCTCTAAAATGTGAATAGCAGCCATTAGGTGGCAGTCAAACTTGAAATCAAATCCTTTCGGAGTGGTCAGGTGAGTGTTAAGTCATCTTTTCAACTAAATTGTTGTAGATTTGTGGAGTTTAGTCTAAGTCCCAACCTTCCCTGTTCATTCTGTTACAAAAACTATAATTAAAAAAAAAAAAAAATCAACTTCGTGTTCTAGTAGGCTTTCCTGACATTTTGTTGCTTTCTCGCAGAAGCCTGAAAGTTTTCATGCTGACACGGCCCGACGTAATTTCATCGCGATGTTGCGCACCCCCGTTTGAAAATCACAAGGGTGAAGGCTGTGTCATCCGACCTGAACTTGACCCAAATCAGAGGCCTCGCTCAGCATGGCATTTGCTACACGACCTCCTTTAACAGGTGGGCTTTCTTAAACCCCCCATTATTACCATTGGTGGAGACCAGCCAGGACATCGCAAACACTAGCATTAGCGCTAAACTATGAGTTGTGTGTAACGCACATATCCCATGAGCTAATTTATAGCATTTTAAGAAGTCGAAAAGAAAATGAAAAGGTTCTACCTGAGCCTGACTGTGTGCTTTCTCTGCGGTCCAGCCTGGTGCGCTGCATCACATTTGCCCCATTCTAAATGTGACCGAGTCTGGCCGTCGCACTGGTGAGCTTTGATGTCTCCATCAAGCGCGTTGGGAGTCAGGGGAAATGTCTTAATAGAGCAGAGGGGGGGATTATGTGGATATATATATGTTCATATAATCAGAAATTCATAGGTTATTATCAGGAGAGTGGGGGGAAGGGAGGGGGGGCTTTCATCGAGGTCTCGCCACTCTCTGCTATCACAAGAGACACGGACGCTAATCCTGTTACTCTTTCATTGGGGAAGACTCCAAAGTAGAGCAGGCCTCTTCCTCCTCCTCATCCCCCTCCTCCCATTTCATGTGGACCATGGAAAGCATAAAGTCAACATCCTTGATCGCCAGCTTAAGGGCAACGTGCACTCTTTTGTCCTCACTCGTCGGTCAATTTTGGTATTCTGGTAGGAAAATTATGTTAATTGTGAAGCATTTGGGCATTTATTCGCTATCCAGCTTAAGCCGCACGAGTCGGCCAAAAGTGGCACTAGCAGCTGAATTACGCAGCTAGCGTAAAACAGTCATTCTACGAGTGTGCTGCAATGTATTACGAGAGGGGGGGGGGGGGGGTTTAAAAGACCCCCCCCCCCCCCCCCACTACGATATGAAATTTCACTGCACTAGTAGGAAAATTAAATGTCAATTTTCTAATGGCCATGTGTTACATGCAAGCTCACCCCCACCACCCCCCCAAAAAAAGATCAAACCACAAATGTATGCTTAGAAGCAAAGATATATTTACCTTACCAGAAATTACCATGTGTCAAGGAAATGTAAACTTACCTGAAATTCAGATAACTTTATCCCCTTGGGACAATTAATAATAGTAACCATGTGTCAAACAAATGCAAACATCAGAAATTAGCATGTGTCAAAATGACTAGATGTCAAAGACATGTAAACTTCAAAGACATTTCACGGATAGCTTTAGCATGACAGGACAATCAGTTAAAGACCATGTGTCAAAGAATTACGAGGGTACTCGAAATTAGCATGTTAATTTAAAAAACATTTTTGACTTTACCATAAATTACGATGCTTTAAACTTACCATGTGTGGAAAAAACGAAATAAAAATCCAACTATCAGAAGCTGGTATGAGTCCACAATGTAAACTTACCCATAACGGAGATTCTGATACAGTTTTATCCCTGTGGAACAATTTATTAAAGACCACTATTCCAAAAGCAGCGGTTAAAAATGACCATGTGTCAAACAGATGCAACCTTACCGGGAATGACCACATGATGGCTGACTTTCTGCTTCAATGGGGAGAACCAGGCGTTCGCTCTATTGCTATCGCATGAAATGGAGCCATTGTTTTTATGCCACTTCCGTTCATTTCCATTGCATGCAATAGACTTTGCTACAATTATTTGGATTGGCACGTATTGCATGTCTGTGGGGATTACCATGATATGCTGCAGTATCTCAATTCGCGTTTGTAGTCGCAATTTGACAAATAATAAAACTTCCGTTTCCCCTCCGCCCACCTTTTGTTGCGTGACCTTTAAGCGCAGGAAGCTACATTCCGAGCCGCAACTTCTCGCTCGGCTGTACTTTTAAGAGGGGAGCTCTGCACTCGGGTAGCTTTCGCACACACCACAAATACAAAATCGGGATGCAAAACGTCTTCTATGGTTATCCTGTGAGACTTTTTCACAAGACTGAACACCATTTGACTTGTAGTTAATAAGTCGAAAAAAATATATTTTTTTAAGTTGGTGCAAATTCCAAAATTGGCAGAGTAGAATTCCATGAACTGATAAATCGTCTATTTAGAATTATATAATGAATAACATTATTTTTGAGTCGCTAAACACCACTTGTTCAATAATATTTTGTCCTTTAGTATTTAACTTAACAGAGAAAAAAATCTGCAAAAGTTGGCACTTTTTGAGGGGCAGTGAATTGTCACATTTCTGTCTCAGGTTGCAATGTGTTAATGTCTTAAAAAAAAAAAACTTACTGATTTTACGTACTGATTTTAAAAGAGCATATACTGAATGTACAATGCAGTTTCTAAATTTCAATGGCCACCATCTGACTGTCAAACCACCTGACATTCACTGATGCCGGCCCGATAAGGCCACCTGTACAATTCTTTTTAAATAAATGAAATAAAAAAACATTATTACTTTTTCAATCTCTAATATTCAATTATATAGACATGAATTAACCAATCATTTGTGCTCATTTTTACCTCCGCTTTGGACTTTGGATCGTCCGCATTCACTGACGCATTGTGTACTACGTACTACTCTGTAATTTGGCCACCGAGTGATACGCTTCACTATTTCATTCACAGAGAGGCTTCAATATATAATTATAAATTTGGTTAAGTATTGTTTTAAATCGGGGCCAGCGCCAGTTCTGGCAAGGCCACCACAACTTGGCTCATGGTGGTCCACACAAAAAAAGCTCAATGTAGGAACTGGTTACAGTCAACCCGAACAGTATGCCAGTGTTAAACGGTCGTGCGGACATGATTGCAAACACTCGTCCCCCCCGTGGGTTTTTTTTTTGTGTATTATATTTTTATTATCTTAGGATAAAAAAACATTAACAATTACATGGGATGCCTTGTTCTGCATAATTTAAACGTATACACAGTGGGAACAGGAATGGCAATGCTTTTAGACTGCACTGCACAAAGGCCAAAAAAAAAAAAGTCACGTGAGACAGCCTGCAAAGAGCACAAGAAGCATTCACAGTAAAGGAAGAGGAGGAAGAGGAGGAGTAAAAGATGAGGAGGAGGAGGAAGAAGAGGGAGTGAAACAAAGTGACTGCAGCACTGGCCTTGGTTTGGACAGGAGAAGGAGCAGCATTGTCCCGAGTAGATCGTCCTTGACTTCAACTCCCGTCTCTCCTGATTGTGGTACTCTCTCTTTTTTTCCATTGTCTTTGACACACACACACACACACACACAAAAATCCTTTATATATTGAATGTGTATATATATGTATATACATATAGGTATGTATATAGATATAAACACATTTGTTGTTGTTGTTTTATAGCTACAGCACCTTTTCCCCGTCGGGCAACAGTGTCAATACCTTGCACGTGGTTACACGCTGTGCCAAAAGGGGGAAAAAATAAAAATAAAAAAATAAAAGACAAAAAAACAAAACAAAAACAATATATTGGTCAGGATATTCATCTTTTTCCCCTAAAATTGGCATTTGACATGATGATATTCTATTGCCATCTGGGTTGGGGGGGGGGGTAAGGGACAAAAAGGTTCTTCTTTTAAAGTTCATATTCAAGTTTTCTCCTTTTTTTTCTCTCTGCTGTATAATTTTCTTCTCTTGTTTTTTTTTCTTTTTTTAAATTTTCTTATTTAAAAAGAGTTCAGACTTTTGTGATTTGCGTGTGCTGCTCTTCGTCAAAAGGTTCATTTTCCGGATCAGAGTCAGTGGTGTCAGAGTATCTATAATGGTCTGGCTCATTGTCGCTGACGTCCGGCGTGACGGATGTCGAAGTGCTCGCCTCAGAATTCGAAGGCTCCTCCACGGTTTTAGTGAAATACAACTTCACCTGTGGGGGTGGGGGGGAGACAGACATCAGTAACTGGGAGCGGAATTTCAACTGGTAGTGGCAAGCTTGAAGCGAGCATACTTGAACCCTTATTTGAAAAAGTATCTATTTCCTCAAAGTGATGTTACAGTTGATTGATTTTCCATGTTTACCTTGAAGTTTGGCGAGAAGTAGCGGTTGGCTTTGTCCTTATTCGCCTTGTCCAGGTCGTTTTTGGTGAGCGTCAGGATGAGGTAGTCCCTGTCGCCGCGCCGCCTTGCTGGCTGTCGGCGTTGTTCACCGCGCCGTTCTCCAGCTTCTCCGCTCCTTCCTCCGGCCCAGGGATGAAGAAGGTGTTCACCCAGAAGTGAAACATTTTGTCCTGGGACGGACAAGAAGAAATTGAGTCATTAAAGCAGAGATGACAGCTTACTCAAGACTTCCCATGGATCTGATTTTTGACATTTAAAAATCCACCACATCAAAAAAATAAAAACCCGTTAATCATGGCAAAGAGAGCAGCCAAATTCTCCGCTCCTTCCTCCGGCCCAGGGATGAAGAAGGTGTTCACCCAGAAGTGAAACATCTTGTCCTGGGACGGACAAGAAGAAATTGAGTTATTACAGCAGAGATGACATCTTACTCAAGACTTCCCATCTGATTTTTGACATTTAAAAATCCACCACATCAAAAAAAATATATATATTATTTTAATAATAATTTAAATATTAAAAATACACCTAAAAAAATCTGCTGTTTTATTTTAAATATAAAACAGTTTGATGTTCTATTTATAATTCATATCTTTGTTGCAAGTGTGATTTAAGTTAGACATACATCTACGTTTTAAATTAATCGGTAATCAGAATTTGATTCTGCCAAGTATCATAATTTGCCTCGCAAAATCTGCATCGGTCTGGCCCTCGTTTTTAAGCGGCTGAAGGAAATAATGCAAGAGTGTCAACTGACACGATGAGCTACAGCTTGTAGGTTCAACGCCTTGCTCAAGGGCACCCGTTAATCATGGCAAAGAGAGCAGCCAAGCATCCACTGACCTTCTTCATCATCTTGTTCTGCTTGTGGAAGAACTCCACCTTGATGTCGCCGCACACCGGCAGCGGCTGCGGGAACTCGAAGAACATGTGCTTGTCCTCACGCCGGGTGTGGGTGGGGTTGGACGTGTGGATCTTCACTTTGAGCTGGTACACGACGAACTGGGGATCTGCAAAGAGGCGGCGATGAGGACGCCACACATATGAAGGCGCGATCGTGAGGAAGGAGGGTTTTTTTTTGCGCCCAAGGCGGGCGACGATGCCAATGTGTTATTACGTGAGTGGATGCATGCAAATGCACCGACAATCAAGAGAGAAAGCAACATGCTACACATGAAAAGACCCAAAACCAGAGATGCAGGACCCTATTCTGATAGCTTGGTTTTATCCTGCCAGGCTAAAGACTGAACCTGCCTACGGATGCTGGATCTCTGGGGCCTGGTCAAAGAAAATGAATGGAATGTAAAAATGGATGAAAGGCTCATTTACCCCAATGCCAATTCCCTTTCTTGAAGCCCTGAGGGGTTGGCTCGCTCCTGTTTTTAACGGTACTGTCTCCTTAAGAGAGGAGAAGGGGAAAAAAAAGGGAGATGGTGGTCACAAACGGCACCCAACAGCATGGGGGGCGGGCGGGGCTCTCGAAGAGAGAGCACGACAGGCACAAACACAAGAGAGGTGAACACAAATATTTACAGATATATTTACATGGGGCAGGGGAACTCGCTCTCGACCAAAACACTTAAGGCAGGGGTGGGGGAAACTGCGTGACAGCACACAAAACTTCAAAAGGAACTGTTACAAAAAGAAAAATCATAAATGTCATAATGGTTTGTTTGGCACTAAAAAAGTACAAAAAAAAAAAATCTAATAAAATCCAAATCAGATTCTTTGATCTCTGTTGACTTAGAACCTGGGTTGTGGATATCACTCAGAATAGGTCCACTCTTTTTAAAAAAAGCATGAAAAAGGAAGGATTAGAAATCAAAAGGCGGAATCCATCCAGTTAAGAGTAAGGAAGCCACAGAAATGTTTTCTTACAGACGAGTTTTTGGACCACAGCAGTCACATACAAGACAAAATTGTTGTGAGTTACACGTGTACGAGTTAATACAAAAGGGTTACTTGATTCCTTTTGCCACCATAAACAGAGCAGACATACATGTCAAATTCGTGAAATGATACAGCAAATGTGTTTTGTGAATATAAATGCCCGCTATGTTTATGTTTCATCATTTGCGACATTCCCAGGCAGTAGACACCCCTTCAGCAAACGTGTAACTTTAATTCAACATTCAGCACACGTATAGACAAACATTGAGCTTAACTGGACTTAGACTGCACATGAAAGACACAGCAGGAACATTGTTGATTAAACAAAAAAAAATCGAAAGGAATTCAACTTCTACCGATTTCAAGAAACCATAGTAACTAAATTAAGAGTGAAGAAAAAGTCGGGTTTTCAAGACTGTATCCGTGTCACATCACATTTATATGAATGTAAACCAGTGCGTTAGCTTACCCGAAGGTATGTTCTAAATGTTGTCCTACAATTTTTTAAAAGAACTCCTGTACATTGCCTATGATTAATATTACGTGTAGCTACGATTTGGGAGCTTCCCGAGGTAGACATTTCTTGCGCGGGGGCTGATGATATCTAAAAAGCATTATTATTTCAAGGACAATTTGACCTTGAAGAGAAGTAAAAGCGGATTGATGGAGGGCTTCATCAATAAGAAGCAGGCCGCGAGTACGGCGCTCCAGTTTGCTTCCAAATAGGACGACAAGCTCCACTCCGGACCCACAGTGTCCTGCGGCGGTAAAACGCAGCGTGGGTGAACCTTACCATGCGAGTTTTTTTTGTGTGTGTGTTTTCCTGGGACCTAATATGCGGCTCCCAAAAGTCGAACATGAGCATGTGTGCGCGCGTAACTCACTGCAGGTGCCCCCACTGAACATGGGCAGAGTCTCGAACACCATTTTGTGGAAGAGCAGCGCCACCGGCTTGTACTCCAGCTGGTTCTTCAGTAGGTAGCTGTAGTAGTAGACGTAGCGGCGCTGGCTGGGGATGGTTACTCCCTGGCAAAAAAACAAACAAAAAAAAAAAGCACCGCGATGACAGGTTAAGAGATGCCAAACATGCCAGGCACCTGTCGGCCACTTTGGGCTCTGTTGCTCCAGAAGGATTGACATATGCCTTTAATGTGTGTGCGCACTAGTCTTTCTTGCAACTTAAACATACTGAATGACTGTTGATCCCGGGTGATGTTTCAGACTCGGGCAAAATTGTTCATTTTATTCGCATCAACATGGGATACACACACACGCCCAAAAAAAAAAAAAAAAAAAAAAAAAAAAAACTTTGTAGAACAATGTAACACTACATTTTAGTTCCCTGTGCCAAAAATGTCCTTGCAGAAACACAAAAACACATCAAGGAGTGTGTTGTAATGTTTTTTCCCCCCGAAAAATTTTAGCGCGTGCATTGTTGATTGTGAAATGACGACATATGCAACTGTTGATAGAGAACGTACATTGTAACCCGGTGTTGTCTTTTGTAGGATTGATTCATTTTTGTCAAAAGACCTATTGATTGACATTGCACCTAAATAAAAAGGCGTGCCTAATGGCCCATAAGGTACGGTCATTCTTGACGTGAATGTTTTGAGTTCAGATGGCCTACTGCGGTCAGGCCACGTTCCTGAAAAGTGGACCTCACCTTCTTGTCCCTTGTCCTGACCTCGCCGTAAAAGTCGAGCGCCTCCTGGGCCTCCAGGAACTTGCCGCGGTGGAGGAGATAGGCGCAGATCATCACCCCCGTGCGGCCCTTGCCGGCCTTACAGTGGATGGCCGCTACATGATTGTCGTCTTCACTGAGCCACTGGTCCAGGTCTTCGCAGAACGGCTTGATCAGCTCCAGCTGTGGGGGATTGTGGTCTTCGAAGGGGTACTGTGCAACTGAGGGAGGGCAGGCAGACATTTTGGTTGAGATTTTAACAAGCCTATGAGTCATAAGATTGCAAAGGGGTGGAAAATTTGAGGACAATTTCCAATGGGGGGGGGGGTGAAGATGGGGAGTTTTGGCGAGATTCAGAATTGGAAGCTTTCCATTGGGATTTAACTGGGAATTGAGGGTAATTTGATAGAAAACGTATCACATTCAAAACGATTCCTATGACCCAATCAGCAGATCATCGCTGTCCAAAGAATCCACCTGTCATGAAGAATCCGAATTGTCATTAATAAACTTTACCTGGTGAGACTGTTGTGCGGTTTCACATCTGTCGATATTTTGTACTAGCCGTTGAATTTCCTTTGTTTATTTTACAAAGTGATATTTTTGGGGAACATTTAAATTTGCAGATTCCTGCTGCTACGCCTCCACTTTTTTGTTTATTTGACAACCACGTGAAGTTACTGAGCATTTACTCAATGCTTCAGTACTTCTCCGGATGCTCTCGTAATATCTGGAGGACAACTTTTTACTTGAATGATCTCCCAAAGTGCGCTTGAGAAGTTCACAAGCATAAATTCAACGGTACTGCATGCAATCAAGTTTCACAATACGAAAAGTTGAAACATTTTCCACAACGCTATTCACGTTTTTTTTTTTTTTTTTATTAAGAGCCACCCTTTAATTTTGGCTTGGTCTCATAAATTCCTGTTAACTCGCATGGAAGTGTTTCCTCCTTTAAAAATTTCCGTAATTTTCCAATTTAGTTAGTCATGAGTTGTTATGGAAAAGTGTGTGCGTATTGGGCCAAGGAGGGGAAAAGTGGCCTACCTCTGCAGTTAAACTTGGCGGCGTCGTAGTGTCTTTCTGCGCAGCTGAAAGGCGAACATCCGGTCAGAAATCAGGAATGAGTAAACTCAGAAAGTGGAAATAAACTGTGAGGAACACTTACAGGTTGTAGATTTTGTAATGGTTTTTATGCTTTGAATCCAAAAACCTGTTTACAGGAGAGAGACGAAAAGGCATACAAAAGTTAGGAAACGAGAGAGAGAGGGAGAGCAAACATTTTTCAGCGGGAGCGCAGCAACTCACCGTACTACGTCGTCTATATTGTTTCTGTACACGCCTTCGAGTCGCTCTGCTGGAAAGCCCATGGCAATGATGTTTGGGTAGATATCTGCTCGGGAGGGGCGGGGTTAAGGAACGCTGCGTCGTCTGTGGGCACGGAGCCTTTTGAATGGCGCTTTCGGCCGGCGACGTTAACACAATGAATTACTTGTTTTGCTATTTAACGAGACATCGCCGTCGCTAGGAATTAGAGCACACGAGTCCATGAACGCAGGCATGGGCAGCAGACCGTGACAAAGTTTCGAGTCGGCGTCAATAGCGCCGTATCATTACAGGCGCGGCTTAGATGGGAGCGCGGGAGCGATGCTGATCTGTGCGTGTTGGCATGTTGTGACAGATGGCCTTGACGGTGAGGAGAAAGGACACGAAGAACTGCGCTCCTGCCCGAGCTTGGGCCAGGACCGCATGTGGGCGCATGAGAGGAGAGTCTCCGCTCCGTGACCTGCGTGTATTTTTAGAGCGCAAACGTTATATCGGCACGGCTGCAACACGGCGTATCTCTTGCCGGAGTGCAGTTCGCACGCGTTCCCAAACGCTTTAGTCGCTGCGCCGGGTTCCCCGGGGCAAATATCACATGGTAGACAGTTGAAGCAGTTAAGGAATGGTCAAGGCGAGCCACTCGAAGTTCAAAAAGAGTGCAAGAATGCGGATGACAGGTGACTGTGACTTTCTATGCTCCGTATTTTACAGGAGACAAAAACGGAAGCAAACCAAAATGCGGTGACACAAACCGTGAGGTTTGGCGCATGGACGAGTGAAATGGCGCTTAACCCCCCCAAAATAAAAACCAGTATTCAGAAATTCTGCCATTCCGTCAAACGGTGGCGGTTCTGAGATTATGGGAGAAATTTTAACTTCAATTTGACCAATATGAAATACTTTTGTCCTGATAACACTTTTCAGTCATTTCGCCCAGTCAGGTTCAGATTAGGCCATCTATGGTCACATCTGATGGGTTCAATTGATAGTTTGAACCCATTCTCACCACAAGTAAACCATTAGACCTAGTTATCTATTCTACCGATTCCTGAGTCCAATTTAAAAAACGTGCTACAGGGTGACTTTGTATCTGGTGCGTCTGTTAGGGTCTTGAGTATTTCTGTCAGTGCTGCTCTATAGGGATTTTGAGGCACGACAATCTTGGTGGTTGACAAGTCCAAGTGTAACCAATTTATTGATTTATTTATTTATTTTCTGTACGAAACGACAGACGCTTCATTATGGTTCTTTGTTGCAATTGTGATTTCCACGTTTGAGAGAACAAACAAGGCGCCTGAATAAAGTATGACTTGAGGCAAACTTTTGACTTGAGTGGAAAAGCAGGGCTGACTAAATATCGGTGATAGAAAGACACAAAACGGGAAACAATCAAGATTTGGGCCAAAGCAGGGACAAAGTTTTAAGTGAGCTACAGAATCACAAATGAAGATAGTCACTGAATATTCGCTTGGTCTCTGGGTCCAGCTGACGTTGGGTGAGGGAGGCCTTGCCAGGTGAGTTGCTCTATCTTGCATAATCAGAATCAGAATCATCTTTATTGGCCAAGTATGTAGAACACACAAGGAATTTGTTTCCGGTAGAACACGCTGCACTAGTATCATCATAAACAAGGACAGGACAAATAAGTATGGAAGGACATTCCGTAATGTAAGTGAACCGTTGTGCCGTGGTACCACCCAGTGACAACTGTGAGACAATGTGCAAGGTATCAAGCAGAACTAAAATGATCAGTGGTAGAATAATATACTCTTACAGTTGTACAGTTGGTGCAGAAAATCATTAAACAATTTTATGTGAACAGTAGCAGTATTTGTAGTACAACAAGTGTGCAATTATGCAGATGTCCTTGAGCGCTTTAAAGTGTCTGGTGCTGTGGAATGTAGATCAGTGACAGTGGTTCAAGTGAGTACAGAGCTGGAGCTACAATAACTATAATGGGATGCTATTCCACAGGGTTGTGCAAAATTGCAAAGAGCCACTGTACAGGTAGATTTGGGTTACTGTTTAGGGAGTTAATGGCTAGAGGGAAGAAGCTGTTAAAGTGTCTGCTGGATTTGGTGCGCATGAATCGGTAGCGCCTGCCTGAGGGGAGTAGCTGGAAAAGGTGGTGGGCAGGGTGCAGGGGGTCCAGTAAAAGGCTTGAGAGAAAATGGCTCGTAGTTGGCAGAGGTCAAAGAATCTCCTGACAGAAATTACCAGTCATGATAAACGAGCTATGGAGAGGAGCGATTCTGTACAGCAAAAGCTTGAAGAGAATGGGCTTCGGCATCAGAGGGCCAAACCAGGTGCTTTTATGATCAGCATGAAAAAAAAAACTGATCAGGCTCATAATAAAAAAATAAACAATAAAATTAAAAAAAAAAGATAGTATCACTATTTCTGCTGCAAAGTCAGCCATTCTACCTGGTATCTGGTCTGTTGGTTCTTTAACTCCAACAGAACCAAGAGTGACACTTCAAACACCGCCGTATACCGAGTAGTGAGTATCAAAGTGAACTTAAAGGAGAAGGAGATGGTTTATCAAGAAAAACTGCATCCAAACATTTTTTTTTTTTTTTTTTTGCGACAATGGTTGTATTAAAGCAAGCTTGTGGAACCTTTTTGTCGGGACGCGATGACAGCCAATGCGCAGCCGTACTTGCGTACAAGAGGCGCAGCCGTGACATTGCGGTGCTCAAAGCCGGTTTGGTCCGGCCGTCTCCACAATTCAACGTGGCATTTTCTTGGTCACGTTCCGACAAATCTGAGTCATTCTCGCAATTTTCCAGAGTCGATCCTGACGCAAGGTCCATGAATCCGTCACTGACGACGCCTGTTTTGCCTGCTCTTTGTCAGACGGGCCGGTACTGCAGCGCATAATAAATGATCGTCCGCCGCACGCAAAGCCGGAAGCCCGTCTGTGATGCGGGTCAGGTTACATCATTTCCGTTTCAATAATTGGATATATAAACAAGCAAACAAATATAAGAGTCTGGATGCCTCGTTCATGGCCGGGTGGATGTCACCCTGTTGGATGAGTCGCTGTCTGCCTGGCAGTGGACTTTTCCCCACCCCTTTCTACGGCGGATCATTGGGGTACATTTGTGAGGGACCAAAAAAAAAAAAAAAAACAAAACAAAACAAAAAAAAACAAAAAAACAAATTTATATCCATACGTAGGCGATGTGGCTGATGAAACAGCCCAGTCAACGACTCGATGTCAAATCCGTTCCTAAATTGGCGCCACGCATGAAAATTAACCAGGGGGGATCATTGTGGCAAATCAGACTACACACGAAAAATGGGAACGCCACATACTTCTCAAACTTTACAATGTTGCTCCCTTTCCTATCATAACCTCGAAACGGTCAACAGGAGCTACACTTTAAAAGCAAATCTTGAAAGAGCTCGTCCTTGGTTTATTCGACTCCCTTCCCGAAAATGGCGACGTAACCCTAATTTGTATGCAGGACAGAACGTGCCAAAGTCTCTCACTAACCTGCCCCAATGCGGTCATTAAGTCATAAATACAATTTTTATTTGTATTAAAAACACTTCTAGGACAGAAATGTAGAACAATCAAAGAGTAGCCGTAACCACAACAGTAAGTGAGCTTCTGGAACATGGCAGTGAGTCTCCAGTCACCAGATGCAAATCCAATAAAAGATGCTGCAGTAATGGGACACTGGCATTATGGACGCACATTCAGCAAATATATATCAAACAACTGTCCAACGCGATCATATCCACATCCATGAAAATCTCATCTGACAGCAAAAAAAGGGGGATTCCAATCTTGTGCCAGCAAGGTGTACCTAATGAATGGCCAGTGAATGAGCAGGCATACTAAAGATGAAGAAAGGGGCACTGCCTTGTGTGCATCTCGACTGCCGTTTTCCGAATGGAATGATGTCATCGAACAGGGCTGCAGCACAGGGATTTAAAAAAAGAAAAAAAAAAAAAAGGGGCGACTGGAAGCGTCAGGGCCAATTATACAGTGACACACATACGCTCTTAAAAAGAGAAGCGCATCAGTGTCAGGTTGCCGTGAAGAGAGAATAATCGAGTTGGCGCAAGCAACCGCCGCCGCCTACCTGAAAGCGAAGTCTGCGCCCCGCCATAAAGCCGAGGGATTTCACACTTTTAACCAGTGACTAAAGGGCAACCTTTTCTCACACTTCCTGTGTCCAAAATGGGGAAGCTCAGTGTTTCTAATTAGATACATCGTTTTGATGTTGAGCTTCTTTTTTTTTTTCCTCCTCCGTATAAGCTGTTGAGCCATGTGAGTGAATGTCAAACCCCTTGCTGAGAAAGTAAAGCTGGAAACGCACACTTTAATCTTTGCAATTTGTTCCCACAAACACAAACTGGCTTTTGCTTTCCATTCGTAGACTGAAAACATAGGAATGCTAGTGAAGGGCATCCTAATGGAGTCGGTCGCGATGGGGTGGAGTTCGAATAACGCCGATTTGCAAGGAAGAAGCCCAGGCGGTGCCGTTAGCTGCTGATGTTAGCCAACAGCTGGTTAGGAGCAACCTGCTTGGCTACTATGATTGATTTGATTCCCTTCAAAACCCACTTTTCGACTCGCGAGTGCCAGGAAACCTTACAGACGCCTGGGCTAGAACCGGAAATTGGGGAGGAGGGTGGAGGAGAATTTTTCCAGGTGGTCATTTTTTTGCCATTTCAAAAAGTAATTTTACGACACTGCCAAGTGAAGTAGAGTACCAAGAAATCTTTCACACCGCAACGAGGGGGCAAACCTTCGGGGGCCGGAAACGGCAAAAACCACTCAAAAATTTTACCTGTAAAATAGCTAAAAAAATAAAATAAAATAAATGTTACTTACAAGTGTGACCACACGATTGAAAAGTTTTGAGATGGAGAAATTGCCCATGTTCATGTTTCTGTTTCAAGCAGCTACGGTAAGCTACAGTGAGCCACGAGTGGACGCCTCCCTTAACAGTAGCCAGCGTGCATACGGACGGCAGCAATAATCCCAGCCATATTCTGTACCAAAGTATTTATTAAAGGTCAAACACAGCGTTACATAGTCTTCTCTAACCCTTGCACCTAACTCACAAATTGATCCCAATTATACTATTCCAAGTGTTTTATTTTGATTTAATTCCTAACACAGATCGGCATTAACTCAGGAGAAACTAAGCTAGGGAATGGAGGAAGGGAGGGGAGGCAGGCAGGGAGGTGAGGCCGACTAGTGTGGGTGGGGTGAGAGAGGTGGTGGTGGGGGGGGTGTCCGTGGGTTTTGCAGCTGGGAGGAAATGCACATGCAGAACCCCTGACTCTAGCTCCGAGTAGGGGGAAAAAAAAAAAAAAAAAATCTGCCATTTCAGGAACGCCTTCTTTTTAAAGCCAGCCCTTGCCTGGGTTTTATGCATACACCAAATCTACAACTGAGCAAGAGAGAGAGTGCGAGCGGGGGTAGGAGGGGGGGCTATGGAGGGACAGGAAAGGAGGAGAGCAGAGGAAAGGGGCAAGAGGGGAGGGAGAATTAGAGTGGGAGTAGTCAAGAAAAAGAGCAAAGGGGAGTGAGGCGGTGGGCCGAAACAAGATCACTGCTTAACTCCACTTTAAGTGTGTATTACATAACTGCATATTGTTTCAGACGCCGCGCCAAAAAGCGATAACAGGGGCGGCATTGTAACAACCAGAAACTGAGAAGCCCCCCCCCACCACCCAACCACACACACACACACACGAACTTTTTGAGGGACATGCCTCCTTCACCACAAGCTGTGTACGGGCAACAATCACTTCAAACCATGGAGTCGTGACATTTCATCAGCTAACATCTGACTGAACGTTGCAAGGTACACAGTTCCGCAACGAAAACCACAGCCAACACATCAGATCGACTTTGGTTGTTCTTAAAATCATGTGAGCATACGACTGATGCTTTGCAAGCCAACGAAATAGATAGATAGCAGATAGAGCCCAACCGCTTTAGCCGCGGAGATTGGCCATTTTAAAATGGGCAAAAATCTGCCCCCCCCCTTTTTTTTTGCTGAGGTTTTTTTTTTTGGTTTTGTGTTTTTTTTACACGTTGCAACAAAAGACGAACATTTTCAAACATCCTCTCACCTGCCACCCCAGACGAAAATAGGCCTTTCTTTTTTTTACTGATTTCTCGCTCAGCAATATAATTGTAAAATATTAAACATTAAAGGACAAAGCACTGTCAAATTGTGAAATGTTCAGCCTGCAATTCAGATCATAATACTTTGTAAGCGCTACATAACCAAAATATGTTATTTTTTTCATCATAGATTTTTTTTTATTAATTAGCTAATTCATCCGCTGTCGGAATTTTTGGCAAATATTAGAATTGGCATAAATATATATACATCAGACACAGAGAGAGGTTAGCAAGGCTGCATATACCTCAAAGTTTGCAAACTGAATATACACTTTATCGGTCCATTGATAAATCCAGCAATCGGATAACAATTGATCAAATTCAATAATCAATTTTGTATTCATGATGACAATGCAAGTGAGGTGAGGGTATTTTCCCACCTGCGTTCAAGCTTTTAAAAGTGAAGCCTGTGCTGGTAAGTAATGTGGGCGTCAGCGGACAAGCGTATAGAATTGGCTGGCTATTAACTAGCTAACCTGTTAGCCAGTCCGTGTTAACAGACTGTGTGAGCTCATGTATGATTTACATGATTCTCTTCTTATCCTCGGTTTGTTAGTAGAACACGTTTGCGATTGTAGACGGGGCTTTTATGATACATTAGTTTGTTATCTTCTTCCCACACTTTGAACATTGTCTTTTAGGCACTCCTTCCTTATGGCCGTGGCTCCAATATATTTCTACTCGGGAGATTGCAGTAACATCAGCTCGTTTGGAGAAATTATCACTGCAAAGCTTCGAGGAAGAGATTTTGCGCCGAGATATGAACGGATCAGTTTCGTTCTTCAAATAATCATTTCGGACCTCAAATCAGACGCACATTGTTAACTTTGTCCAAATATGGCATGAACATTCGACCACATTTTTTTTTTTTTTGGTGTGTGTTCAGATGACGCCACCGAATGTTCTGAACTCCTGCTTAATATCACTGTCCTCTAATACTGTCCGACAGGAGTTATGCCATAGCTTGGATACAGCTCATGTCATGTTGAACTTCAGTTTGTTGTCTCAGTTCCCAGTAATCCAATCCGAACCGCACAAGTCAACAGCGATCAATCAAACATATCAATTAATCGATTGATACGCCTATTCCAAGTTCACGCACCTATCTAAAGCAAGGTATACTCCTAAGTATGTGTAATAATGTGTACTGTTGTCCAAAAGGCCCAGTAGTACTGCATCAAGTCGCTTACAAAGTGTGTGCTAAGGCAGAGGACAGGCACTGAGTATCTTCAGGCTCAAGGGAGTCAAATTTCAGACTTTTTAGGGACAAACACACCAATAGCACAAACAAGACTTTCAATACGATTTTAGGGCTACTTGAAGGGATTTAAGATGAAACATTAACAACACACACACGACAAATATCTGGAAAATCTATTTTTCCAACACAACTGTTAAGGAGAACCAAGGCCCTGATGGAGGGAAAACCAAATCAAGCAAATCATTTCAAGTGTAAGGCCCCCCCCCCCAAAAAAAAAATCTTTCCCACTTGGCGTACAATGTCTACAAAGCAACACATGCACGTAAAATGATCCAGCGCTTAACAGCCAAAATTAGCAAGACTCAACAATGCTAATGCGAGGGGCAGCATCAACCAATTAATTTCTATATATCGACAAGGAATATGTGTATAAATAACCATAACTGTTACCAACTTACAAACGAGTGAAACTTAAAAAAAAAAAAAAAAAAAAAAAAGTAGAAGCAGCAGCACTAGCCGGTTGCATTAAAATGTGCTAATCAAAGTCGAAAATTAGCCAGCCAAAACAAGGTATCTTCAGACTTTGGGTAGCCCAATTAAAGACTTTAGGACCAGAAAGATTTATGCTCTTACTTATTAGCATGACACACACACACACACAAAAAAAAAGTGACCACATTATAAATAACTGCTGAATGTGTCCTTTCACAACGCAACTGAATGCTTACTGATGAGCCACACGTTCAAAACTTGTAAATGACAAGTAGTCAAATTTGTGACAAAGATTACATGTCAAGTTTTGGGTCTATGGCAGTTTTGAGACCTCTGGATGTTGGGAGTTAAGGACGGTTGAGGATAATTGATATCTCAATGATGAAATCCACTCATTTACCTACTTGGGTACACAATACATGTACAACTCGGATATGGTTCTCACGCAGGACTAAAACAGCGAGACTGCAAAATTCTCAAGCAAGAAGTAGCACCAGCCACTTGCACAAAAATGTGCTAATGATGGAGAAATGACCGGAAGGTCAAAACAGATACTCCAATTTATTATTAATATCCATTATTAACAATGGCAGCACACAACGTCCCTAGCGTGAACGAGATTTTGTTTGTTGTAAATGTCTTATTTTGATGATGTCATTGATCAATCAGCAAATTGACAATACAAAAACCAATGGCCGATTTAGCATAAAATGCAAAATATATGCCGATCCGTTCCATCTGATAAAATCTGTGCAAACTGTAGTCGGGTCCAAGACACTGCAGTGATTCGCTCGTAAACACGTTATTTTATCATCATAAACTGCGTTCGCAGTCAATATTGCACAGAATGTAATTTTTAACCACACGATCAAAATGAATCGCATTTCCATCCATTGCAATGGGACACATTACCTTGGTTTACAAACGGGCTCGCGGTACATACATTTAGCCCAAGGTAAATGTGAAATCCTTGCATAAATTTGCTTTTACTTTCATCATCATGTATACAAAAATTATGAAGCATTTGATTTCAAGTTTCAGATTGCATTTTTAAAGCAGTTCTTTGGTTGAAAAGAAGTGCAATGAAATAAGAGATTTTTCACCACCATGATGAATAAATGTGACTAAATAATCATCGCGGTTATAACTTTGCCCATAATCGTGCAGCCCTAACCTAAATCGAACAAATCCTAACATAAATCTACGAAAACTACATTACGACTGGTAAATTCAATCAATTGCCGCTCGTTTTATCTTGTCTGTCAGGAATCGCCTGCATGTGGTTCCGATACGTTCGGAATAAAACTAGTGCGCCTCCAAAATGCTCAGGCTCGAAGCAGCACCAGTTACCTCGCATTTTATTAAGCACACACACACACGCGATGTCCAGTAGGACGGGAATTTCCTGCTGAGATACGACGGTGACATGAGTGCACGCCGCTTTGACAGATCCACCATCTTTCAAACACGCTTGATGACAGCCCCAGCTAGCCCCCCTGCTAGCCCCCCGTTAGCTCCCCCCCTCACGTTTCTCATTGTAAGATTCATAATAGGCACCGATGCGGCGTTACGGATCAGTAAAATAACCCACTGGAGGAAAGGATACATGTTAAATCCAGGTCGAAGCCGTCCTCCTGGTATCTCCTTTTGTTCCGGCTGACAATTTCTTTAATAATGGCAGTCATTGCAGCGGCTGACAGGAGTCTATTATGGGGAACGGATGAAAGCAGGCTTTTAGCTGGTTCGGTGGTACACGGCGGTTCCGTTCGGTGGGTCGCGGTAAGGGGTGAAGGGGAGGGGGGGTCCTCCTCGGGGCTAGCCAGCCGAGCTCGTTGGGATTAGACAGGCTTCCTCTGGAACATAAAGACGGGCCTTGCTCGGCTTCTCCTCGGCGAAGGCCCGACTTTTCCAATCCCGCGGTCGCTCTTCCAAATACTCCCCAGCGAAATACATGCAGTTGTCCACAAAATAAGACCCGGGTTCGGTCCGAAGCGAGAAGAAAAGTCACTGGTAACCCCCGAAGGAAGGGGGAGAAAAAAAAAGCCCGTATCCAGTCACTCGGACGGGGTGAGGGGTGGAGGGGGGTTGGAGCTAGGCTAGCTCGCTACGATCCAAAAAAAAACCTCCTTAGCGATTCAACATTGTCACCGAGCACTCGTCGAGAACATCGCGGGGAAGGGAAAAAGTGACAGGCTCCACCTCAGATGTATGCAGACTATAGAAAATTCAGCAATATGCACAGATTGCTTTGACAGCTCCGTCCCGTGGAATCATCTTTCCTTTTTACTCGCTCCAGCTGAACTCAGGCTCCCATCATGGCCTCCGCCGAGGAAAAAAGAAGGTAGAGCAGGCTGGGCTTTTAGTACACGTATCCCTCCGCCTTCGCCGTGTAGTCCCTCAGTTTGATTAAAACGGACAACTACACGATTATTTCACCGAAACTAAATCTTGTAAATTATTATTTGAACTCAAATGAGATATTGGGTGATATCTGAAGAGAAAAGAGACACGCAATCTGTCACTATTTGTTCGTAGCGGAAGGATACAAGAGATATGCACGCGTCGGCTCTCTTCTGTCAAAGTGATCACGTGTGACTATAATTAGGGAAGTTTCTCACACAAAATGTCACGTTTTCGCGCTTTTTTTCTTGCTCACAACTGAATCGGCTTATATATTGAAATGTGGAAAATTAATAATGATGTAATAATTCATTAGCATTTTCAATTACAATTAAATGTATTGTTTATGTGGTGTGGGTACACAGCGTGGGTCTGGCAAGCAGATTCAACATTATAAATTTGAACTTCCGTGATTATAATATTTTTCAAGTCGTAATGTAGATTTTGAAAAGTTAGAGTTTAAATTCAAGGTATCTATTAATATTTGCGACTAGCCTAAGCGACAGACCAATCACTCCAACGTCACTTTGCCGAAAGGTAGTTTGTAGGATTAGTCATTTCTGCTTTGTATTCGTTTTCGCTCACCATCTTAGGTGGTTAGCATTCGACTGTCTGCATTCGATTGCATATCATGCTTTTCGGTTGCTCTTAAAATGGTGCACTCAAGCTCCATCATCCGGTCATATAATAAGGCCAAGAGAGGAAAAAGATCAATGTTTCTTTCAGATTCCGAAGATAATGATGCACAAGGGTCAGTCAGAAGAAATGAGACAGAAGACATTTCTAAAACAGGTTGAGCCAAGTGGCTGAGTAACATTTCCCATGCAGACCTCCATGGCCAATCCATAGTTTGGGTTTGTGTGCGCAGCGATCAGTTTGTCAGTTAATTCATAGCAGATGCATGTTGGCTCACTGCAATAGACTTTCAATATTCATCTGAAAGATACGCCTTTTCTCCATTCATTTCTGCATTAATCTTAAAAATGACAAAAAATGAGCTAGCCCAATTAGCTGGCAGCCAATCCAGGTGTCCCCCAACTCTCACCAAACTCAGCTGGAATTGACAATAAATTAATTATTATTATTCATTCAATTATTAACTATTCATTGGGAGAAATAAATACAAAAATGAATACATCCATTTATTTTACAGTTGGTTGCACAAGGCCATACTTTAACTACCCCTGACTTAAAGCCACCCAAAAAATCTGTTACTAAATTATACCGTGATAAAATATTTTTTTAAACTAACCTTATTGATACCATCTTGTCCAATTAAGTGCAGATAAGTCTGAGTATTTTTATAGTGTCTGTCTAAGTGTTGCTGCATCATTTGTATGAATTTATAGTCCTCAGAAGTTCAGAGAATTTCATGGTAGGCTGGATCGAATGCTCAAATTTCCCATCCTCAATCAAACCAAAAAAGTATTTGATGATGTTCAATCAGAAACTCATGTAGAATCCATGATCACTGTGGTTCAATGACCAATCACATCTGGACACAGCTTGCATCTGGAACCATGAAAGCATCACAGTACACACACCATTTTTTTTTTACTGTCATTATGGCTTATTTAATAGTTATTGTGATCATCAACATTCATGTTGAACAACTACAATGTGGATTGAATTAGGTTACACACTCCAGAATCTTAGCCCCAGGAAGTGTGCGCCACATTTGGAGAGATTTACTCCAACAGCTGTCCTTGTCGTTCCTTTGTAACAAGACATGTCGGCTCCGCCGTAGTTGGGAGATTTTATTAAGTCCCAGGCAGTGCTGCTCAGCAGATTTGAAAATTGGGTTACCTGGAACATCACAGATTAAATGATCTCATCCCTTGTAAGGCTAATTAAAAATCTGCTTCTTGCAGGAGAAGATGGTTGTGCTCATCAGGAGAATGCTCATCCCGCTTTAAACCCGGCGCAAAGCTTAATGACTGTCTCACTTAATCGTCAGTCATGCAAACGTATCCAAACACCTCCTAAGTATCACTTGAAAGTAGCTCTTTAAACTATTAGGATGTCAGGACCTGTTAGGAAGCATCATCATAGGTTTTAATCCTCAAGAATATTTTTTTGTTCTATTGCAAGCCACTGTAACGTTATGCAGTTTGAACATTTGCGATTAAACCGAGGAATTAAATATATTATATTAATTATTTCATTGGGATTGCAACTGTATTTTAAAAGAAAAATGCATACATATGTTTGTCAAAACACATGTTGAAATTAAAAGTTAAATACAGCTGAATGATACTTGAGATTCTTTCGCATACCAGAAGAGAAAGCACTCTGAGAACTACTGCTTCTAGGTCAACATATGTGAAGCGGTATAAATCTCAGCTCGGCGTTGCTGCTGTAAAAGCAAATAGTCGTAAGTATTAGAGTGCTCTTTAAATAAATACTGTATAGTGAAAATTTTGGAGACGATAATCCTTTACTGATTCGAGGATAGAAAATTCAGGTGTTACGGTAGTACTGGTTAAAGCAGCAAACACCATAGTGTTGAAAAAATAAAAACATTTTTTAAAAATGAAAATGTGATATCTTGTGACATTCAACTTCGTGAACACTTGTGTGACACATCTTCCACTTTTAAAATAAACGTGGGACAAAAATATTTTTGGCTAACATATTTACTATGAAACACTAAACCGAAACCGTGACGGTGTGGCGCCAAGTAAGCAGTTTAACATGATGACACACTACCTACACAAGAGGCTGAACTGAGATTCGAACGCAGAACCTCAAAACTGTGTGGTAGATTGTCTCACCACTAACTCACTATGCTCCTTCCATTAGGAAAACCACATCTTAAATTCCTTTTGAATATTTTTAACGGATGTTAAGGTCACTTCCACCGACTGCCCTTAACATGTCTCAGGGGATCCTCGTTTTACGACAGTGGACAACCGGACGTTAAGTAGGAGCGCGACGTGGTCTATGAGTAGTCATACTTAGACCAAATATTTGGATTTATAGAGTAAAAATATTTAATACATACCAGTGCCGTATTTTCCGTGTGACAACATTTTCTTTCACCACGCGAAATGACGTCGTAAACCGAGGACCCTCTGGAGTCTCAATTTATGAGCATTTTTAGTGCCCGAAGCAGTTTAGGCCAACAGAGGGCGGCGTTGTGCTTCTACTTTTTCTGCACTAAAATCCAACTCACATCTAATAACAACGTTCAAATCCGGGACGTTTAAATGTGAGGAAACGCAATAAAATATGTGTATGAAAGAATGATTCATAATACCAATTAGGTTGATTTATTACTGCATTTTACATTCACATCTTCTTCCTCCTCATCTGGCAAACATTTGAATGCCCACTTTTACAGCAAAACATACATACATCCCCGAAGACATTCTTAGTACCAGGGGAGACTTTTTCACAATGTTGGTAAACAATAGGTGCCTCCCGGGGTACTTCTGGGTGGCAGAGGAGCGAGTGACCACCACTGACTTCAATCGAAACAATGACACAATTTAGTTGGTTTTTTTGGGGGGGTTGTTGCACCACCAGATGTCAAGAATCTATAATAAATTGTTGTACAGAGAAGATTGTAAGACTGCCTACGTGTTGACATCATTGTGAAAAGGTCTATACGCATCAAGTTGAGGGAAAAGGCACTTTGAAGTTGGACCTACGCTGTATTGCACTGAGACAGGAGACATTCGCGCTAATATAATAATATAAACTTTAGGCACTTTAGCTGGTGAAGATGACATTTCGTTCAAAGATTACAAATAAACTTAAAATGTGTTACATGAAGTTTCCCCATGTAGCCTTCAGATAGGAAATGAAATATAGTAGGGTTCAAAGTTAAAAATAGATTAGAATCTGATGTTACTTCTGTATAAAAATACATGGCATATGGATTCACCACTTTATTAGGTAGACTAAATAATCTTCCATATGTACTGAGCAAGTTCCAAATATTTTATCTTGAAAGAGTTGGACTCCAGCCGACTAAATTGGCAAGGGAGTTCAATTGCACAATGGAATGATGAATTGGAGAAAGTTTAAAAGGAATGCGCATCAGTTATTGAAAAAGTACTTTGATTTGGCAAAGAGTTTCCCAACACCCACACGAGTTACAAAGTCTCTTTACTTCTTGTACTGGTCCTTAAAATTCAGCACACCATCTGAGAATGACCGTCATTGTCTTGCAGTAGTAGAGTAGCGTCGTGCTGGTCTACTGGTCCTTTTGCAGCGAGTTGTAGTACTCCACCAGCACCTTCCAGGCCTTGGGGGCCATGAAGCCGTCCGGTGGGTTCTCTCCGCTGCGTGCTAAGTTTCTCATCTTGGTTCCGGAGATGAACTCAAAGTCGGCGTGACTAATAGGAAGAGAAATACGGAGGGGGGTGGTGGTGGTGGGGGGG